TTCCCAATTTTTCACACTGGAATATAGGGTGTACATTCCAGCCTCTGATGTGGAGATCGAAGGCGTGGTCACTGAGGCGAGTCTGAACCCCGAGATACTGGAGAAGCAAGCGGTTGGCCGATTCAAGAACCCCTTGCTTCCTCCGGTAAAGATACTGGCTGTTCATAGAATGAAGTCAGTATCGCTCAGCGAGGGTAAAAAGAGTTTTACCCCCACAGACTCGTTTCGGGTGACCTTTTCTGGATCTGCCCTTCCTCAATACATCGAGCTGGGAAAACTTCGTCTTCCTGTGCGGTTGTTTGTACCTCGGGTCATGAACTGCCAGAATTGTAAGCGGTTGGGACATACGGCCTCCCACTGCGGCAACAAGGCACGCTGCTCCACATGCGGGGAGAAGCATGAGGATGGCGCCTGCGCAGCTACTGCACCAAAATGCGTGTACTGCAACGGAACTCCTCCTCATGCTCTTTCGTCGTGCCCGGCGTACAAACAGCTCGGGGACAAAATGAAACGCTCCCTTAAGGAACGTTCCAGGCGGTCTTTTGCAGAAATGCTTAAGACAGCCACGCCATCGACCAATGACAAAAATCCCTTTTCTCTTTTGTCAGATGACGAGACTGACTCTGACTTGGCTGAGGAGGGAACTTCTTTCAGTTTTCCGGAAGGTTCTGCACGGAAACGAAAGCGCATCCGTTCGCGGATTGTTGCAAATAAAGAACCCCAAATCAGCTTGCCCAAATCAAGGAGTGGTGGAAAAAAGGAGACTTCTACGCCTCCTGGATTCCGCAGAACTGACTATACCCAGGATTTTTCACCTCTTCCGGGGACATCCAAAACCCCTGATGCCCCAATTTTAAGAACAGAAACCCCTTCTTCATCTGGGTTGTTCTCATTTGATGACATTGTGGACGGTATTCTCAAATACCTCAACATTTCTGATCCTCTGAAAAGCATTGTCCTCACATTGCTTCCGACTGTGAAATCCTTCTTGAAGCAATTGACTTCAAAATGGCCCCTTCTTGCAGCTATCATCTCCTTCGATGGATAATTTTCCAAACGAGGTCGGGGATTTGATCACTGTTCTACAGTGGAATTGTCAAAGTCTTATTCCGAAATTAGATTCGTTCAAGTATTTAGTCCATAACAATAATTGCGATGCATTTGCCCTCTGTGAAACATGGCTCTCTTCAGAAATTGATCTCCCTTTTTTTGATTTTAACATTATTCGATTGGATCGTGAGGATTCACGTGGAGGAGGGGTACTTTTGGGGATCAAAAAGTGCCATTCCTTCTATAGAGTGAATCTTCCCGAATTCCCCGGTATTGAAGTTGTCGCATGTCAGGCTACCATTAAAGGTAAGAGCCTTTGTATTGCTTCTGTATATATTGCTCCTAGAGTCTCTGTTAATCGCAAACAACTTTTCGACATATGTGCGGTACTTCCCGCTCCATGGTTGATCATGGGAGATTTTAACTCCCACGGTACAGGCTGGGGGGAGCTGTACGATGATAACCGTTCTACTTTGATTTATGATCTCTGCGACAACTTCAACATGACAATACTTAACAATGGAGAAGTAACACGTTTGGCTGGTCCATCCTCGAATGGTAGCAGATTAGACCTCAACTTTTGCTCCAATTCACTATCGTTGGATTGCACTTGGCATGTAATCCAGGATCCGCACGGTAGTGATCATCTGCCGATCAAAATTTCGATTGCCAGTGGGTTCAACTCGTCAGAATCCGTTAACGTCGCGTATGATCTAACCCGTAACATCGATTGGACTAAGTTCCAATCCGTGATAGGCGATACAGTATCGTCAGTGGAAGAGCTTCCGCCGTTGGAGGAATATAATTTCCTCTCTAATATCATCGTCGACAGCGCACTTCAAGCTCAAACACGACCGGTGCCGTGATCATCATTTCGTAAGAAAACACCATCGCCCTGGTGGAATCAACAATGCACGGAGGTTTACCGTAAAAAGTCCGACGCGTTTAAACTTTTTCGGAAACGCGGAACACGCGAGCATTTCGACGCATACACATCTCTTGAACGCGAACTCAAGAGCCTCATCAAGGCCAAAAAACGGGGTTACTGGCGGCAGTTTGTAGACGGATTGTCGCGCGAAACGTCTATGAATACGCTTTGGAGTACGGCGCGAAGAATGCGTAACCGGTCTACTAACAACGAAAGCGAGGAATGCTCGGATCAATGGATTCTTAAATTCGCGCGAAAAGTGTGTCCGGATTCCGTGCCGTCGCAGTTGATTCCTCGCGAAACCGCGAATTCGATAGACGAAATCAGTCAGCCTTTTTCAATGGTGGAACTTTCACTCGCTCTCCTTTCGTGTGGCAATTCTGCCCCGGGATCTGATAGAATCAAGTTCAACTTGCTGGAAAACCTCCCAGACGTCGCTAAGAGGCGCATGTTGAACTTGTACAATCAGTTCTTGGAGCTCAATATTGTTCCCGACGATTGGAGACGAGTAAGGGTGATAGCCATTAAAAAGCCTGATAAACCCGCGTCGGATCACAATTCGTATCGGCCCATCGCGATGCTGTCGTGTATTCGGAAATTGATGGAGAAAATGATCCTTTTTCGCCTCGACAAATGGGTTGAGACGAACCACCTTCTTTCAGATACTCAATTTGGTTTCCGTAGGGGTAAGGGAACGAACGACTGTCTCGCGTTGCTTTCCTCGGAAATTCAGTTGGCTTTTGCTAAGAAAGAGCAAATGGCTTCTGTGTTCTTGGATATCAAGGGGGCTTTTGATTCAGTATCCGTTGAAGTTCTTTCAGAGAAACTCCACGCTTGTGGATTGTCTCCATTAATGAATAATTTTTTGTACAATTTGCTGTCAGAAAAACATATGAGCTTTTCTCATGGAAACTCTACAGCTTTTCGATTTAGCTACATGGGTCTCCCCCAAGGCTCATGTTCAAGCCCCCTTTTGTACAATTTCTACGTTAGAGAAATTGTTGTCTGTCTTAGTGACAATTGCACGTTGAGACAACTTGCAGATGACGGCGTAGTGTCTATCACAGGGCCAAAAGAGGTTGACCTGCAAGGACCCTTACAGGATACCTTGGACAATTTGTCTACTTGGGCTATTCAGCTAGGTATCGAATTCTCCACGGAGAAAACTGAGTTGGTCGTTTTTTCTAGGAAGCATAACCCAGCACAACCGAAGCTTCAACTTTTGGGTAAACCGATCACTCATTCCATGTCTTTTAAATATCTCGGGGTCTGGTTCGATTCCAAATGCACCTGGAGATCCCACATTGAGTAACTGAGACGAAAATGCCAACTAAGGATCAATTTCCTTCGATCAATTACCGGAACGTGGTGGGGAGCCCATCCACAAGATCTTCTGACGTTGTACCGGACAACGATTTTATCGGTTTTAGAGTACGGTAGTTTTTGCTTCCAGTCGGCAGCTAAAACGCACATCATCAAGCTGGAACGGATCCAGTATCGTTACTCATACTATGAGTCTCGAAGTGCTGGCGGGCATGTTGCCTCTATCCGTCCGTTTTTCAGAGTTATCTCTGAGGCTCCTCACCCGTTGCGAAGTAATGAACCCACTGGTGATCGAAAACTTTGAGAAGCTTCTGGAGCTAAATCCTCAAACATGTTTTATTACTTTGTACTACCTATATTTAACACAGGATGTCAGCCGTTCAAGAAATATTCCCAATCGTGTAGTCTTCTCCGATTTCGGCAATTCAGTGAATTTTGATTTATCTATGACGCAGGAAATCCGCGGAATTCCAGAGCATCATCGTCCTATGATTGCTCCGTCATTATACGCTGCAAAGTTTGGCCATGTTGATTCTGCAAGAACGTTTTTCACAGATGGATCACTAATAGAGGAGTCCGCTGGTTTTGGTGTATTTAATGAATTTCATAGCGCCTCTCGAAAACTTGAAGCTCCTTGTTCTGTGTATGTGGCTGAACTGGCAGCAACTCACTACACTTTGGAAACTATTGCTTCACTTCTTCCAGACCACTAGTTTATTTTTACGGATAGTCTCAATTCTGTCGAGGCTATCCGTTCCATTAGGCCGGTAAAGCACTTCTCGTATTTGCTCTTGAAAATACGAGAACTGCTTAGTACTTTATCCGTGCGCTCTTTCATCATCACCTTCGCGTGGATCCCTTCGCATTGCTCAATTTTGGGCAATGAGAAGGCGGATTCACTTGCGAAAGTGGGCGCTATGGAAGGCGACATTTATAGTGACTCTATAAATAAATAAAAAAAAACAAAAACAACGCTTCCCGCCCACAAGCTGTAGACCGAGTGCAGAATCTTTGTGATGATACTTTCCAAACGTGCATACCCATAGAAATAAATTCAATTCAATAAAGGATTTAATATAAAAAAAAAAGACATGAACAAGATGATTTCTACTGTGACTGTGACTAAATCCAGCATTCCTACTTAAATATCGAATGCTGTGCTTAATCATTTAGTATTAGTACAGAGCAATAAACAATGTACGGTGATGATTAATCTGTTAATATGCTATTATAAGCGGGTTCAAATGCACTTTTGGTAAGCATCAACACTGATCTGGCAACACTAGTGTGCATCTTTCCAATGTGGTAAAGATCCAGATCAGCCCTGGGACCTGGTAGTCTAATGAAACTACCTCAAGGTTTTGCCAAAGCCCAGAGCATATCAAGATGAATCCTTATCTAACCAATATTACTTAGCAAAATCTCCATCCTGTGACAAACATCACTCTAATATTCCTTACCCATTCCTAACTGACTGATCTTTTGTGCATAGAATCACTGAAATTTTTACACTGATAATGGACGGTTACTCTCAGTCCCATTGAGTAGAATAATTGTGCAACGTTACTGGTTCTGATCAATCACGGCGGGACAGCAACCGTTTATATGTGAAGTCAGTCTACGCTAAGCTACGCAAATTTATTGATACCCTTCAGGAACAGATTGGGCTTTTCTTTCTCAAATCACTGCGTACAGTCCTAGTTAACATCCATTTGGTGCACTTTATTCAGATGTTGTAAGTATCTCCGTATAGGAAACAAAATAGATTCACTACCCTATACAGAAGACGTCGTGGCTGTTGCTGTGGTGACGGACAATAAACTAGATAAAACAATTTTTAAAACATAACACAAAGGATCTACTAATGCAAATCGTTCTACGATCAAGCGTTTCAGCTAATGTTCAAGTAAACATAAAATCTTCTTTATCGGTGTCTTTAAATGCATCCCCATCTTACCAACCATACCATACCTCCTGTCGATTCGTTAAGTATGTCTTTTTCCTTCAGTTGCGGCTAGTGCTTTACGCAAGCACAAACGGTGTTCCTACTTTGATTCAAATAACTACATGCGTCCATTCATCCGTATTCGTTAAGACTAGATTAATCTTCGTTTCTTTGATTCTGTTCCCGCAAAAAAGTTGCCTCGTTCCTAATAACCGCCACCGGCTGAAATATTTTCGTAGCTTTTGCCCTTCAGCTCGATCAGGGCCGTGTGGATGCGGAAGTGCAATCGAGATTCCAGCGAGTAGCCACTGTAGTTTTTCCTGTGGAGTTTCAATATCATTTGTTAGAGAGAAAATTTCTGAAAAAAGCGCTTTTAGAGGGTCGTACTTGGCATCTTCGAGAGCAAGAACAGCCTGTTCCTTTTTCCCCTGATCCACATAGATAAGAGCGATTTCAACGATGGCATACGGTACCAGGTAAAAGTCCTCTTTGAGATCTTTGAACATCGCAACTACGGTTTCCAAGCACCTGTTTGGGGGAAGTTAACTATTTTAGTATTGGTATTAGGAATCGGTTAAAACACTTACTTCAAAGCTTGCAGTGGACTGTTCATCTGCCTCAAGCAAGCTCCCTTCAGCAGCAAGAGTAACGCCTTGTTATCCACGTCGTATGCATTCAGTGGACTGTTGGTCTTCTTCTGCTGTCGTTCTTCCAGCTCGGTTAAATTTTCCTCCACTATCCGGTACACCCCATCGGCCAGATTGAAATGTTTTCCGAGGATTTTGAACAAATTCCAAACGTACATCAGCTCCAACGCCGGAACGTACAGGAACGATTGCTGGGCGAAAAAGCGGTCCGACTTTTTGCAGGCAAATTTCTCCATCGGAAGCGATTTCCCAGCGATTCGTTGCTTGTACTTTGGCACCTCCTTCATCAGCCCGTCCAACGTTCGCAGCTCGGTCGACGTGAGATCGGACCGCTTCATCATGCTCATAATGGATGCCTTCTGATATGTGTAGATCGTACGTGACCATTTGCTGTGCTCTACCAAGTACGTGGCAAAGAGCAGCGATTCTCGCCAATCCAACCGTAAGCTGCAAAGGCATTTAAATAGGTTAGTAAAAAAAGGCATTTTCGAGCGTCCCTCAAACCTACCAATTCACCCACAGCAGCTCCCAGAAGCACAGATGGTGAAACTGTGGCCACACGTTTTGCGATTTCCAGGACCTTTTGTACCACATCAGTGCGTCGTCCAGATTGCCCTTCATGAACTCGAGCCGTCCCTTGAAGAACAGGAACCACACACCGTCCGGGTAGAGTTGCAGCTGCTTCTGAAGCAATTGGTCACAGAACTTCAGGTCACCCTCCTTGTGACTCAGGACGTAGCACACAATGAGATTGTAACCGAGCAGGGTCATGGTGCACAGCACCTGTCGGATGCCGAGGCTTTGCGATCCAGTGATTAAGTCCTGCATGCCGGATTGCTGGAATTGTACAACGATTAGAGAGAGGTTGATAACAATTACAGCTATGAAGCACCTACCTTATTTCCGGAAAAGCCAATAAACTCCAGCAGCTTGATGACTCTCCCCGGGAGCAGAGAAATCATGAGATTAAAAGTACCCAAGCCCATCCGAACTCCACTCTCGAAATGCACCCTTGAATTTTCCGACTCCCACTGCCGTTGGTTCAGTATGTTGTTACATTCCCTGGTTTGAAAAGTTAAATCAAATTCCCTATGCCCGAAATCAGTCAACAACAACTTACTTGTACATGGCAAAGCAGTTCCGTATCTTCATGCCCCCCTTGATCAGGCTGGACAGCGTTTCGTCCTCGATGAACGTCAGCATCGCCTTCAGCAGCATGGCTTCGGCCGTGCACAGTTCCGCGTGGGCCTCCACATCCGTGTACTGGTCGTAGTTTACCTTCTTGAACGTTTTCCCTATCGTTTCCGTCAGGGTGTTCTTCTTCCGGTACCGATTGCACACGCCCAGGCACTGCTTCAGTGCATCGGAAGCCGCCGCTATGTGCTGCTGCTCGAACGTTAGCATGGCTTCCAGATAGGCAAACACGCTGTTCCCCACCGAATGGTACATGCTCGACATTGCCCTGCAAAACGGAAAATGGAAAATGATGCTACGTCGAACGAAAACTGACAGCATATGTATGTATATATGTACCATGGTTTCATCAGCGCTTCCGCTTCGTTGAATTTGTTGTTGAAAAACAGATTGACCGCCAGCTTGGCTTCCGTCAATGCCGCCTCCAGATCCATGGAACAGGATGGCCTGGTCCGGGGAAAAAACAAGAAAGCGGAAATCAATTAACACTCGTCAGTCGTCGGGGTGCAAATGTCCTAAACCTGGAAAATGGAAATAATGGCCCATAGTGTGCAAACAACAGGACATGTCAATCGTATTTAACTGACTAGGCGATTGCATTCCTGTGGTGGTCCGGTGTGGATTGGACGGGATGTCCGTTTTCAATTTCATTCTATTTTTCACTCGCAGCAATTTTGTGTGTTGTAATTCGGTATGGACACGTGTGTACGTGATTCAATCGGAAAATGTCGGCAAGGACAGTACAAGCGAGTGATAGGTAATTTTTGCACTATCAGTTCTGTATAATTGAATTTCCGCTATTGGTTGGGAATACGGTACAGTGGCTTTTAGCTATATTGTCGAAGAATTATAATTAACATCACCATCTCTAGAAAATGGGACGGGTACATTACAGTTTATCAGCAACCACATTAGTTATCACGATTATTACGTAGCTACTCAAGCTTATTGCTCTATCCGCGTTTTATTGTTTAGATGGGACCGTAGCGACGGGTAAGCGAAAAAAAATTGTACTTGCCAAAAAGCTCCTATACTCAGAAAAATGATTATTGAGGATGCTGAATCACTTCAACGCAACAGGTTGATTAATTCCATGCAGGTTTTCTTCGACTCACTTCGCCATAAAATACGATTTCTTGGATGAAGGAATCATTGGATGCAAGATGCAATAATGATATGTTATACTTGTAAGTTACGAGAAGAGGTTGTAAAGTATTCACTCTCCCCCCGAAGAACGTGAACTCGGTCTTCACGAATTCCATTTACGCTGGTGTCTCGGATGATTCCGTTTACGCGAGGGAACGTACACGTAGCATATGGGATTTGACCTAATAGGGACCAACATGGAATATCTCGCGATCCTGAACATATAGAAGGTTACTGTCTTGGGCAAAGTTGTTTAGTAGATCAAGACCTAATAGTTGGTCGCCGCGTAGTGAGGAAATTCCGAACTTCTGTCCACCAACGATAAGGTCTTGACCCAAGTAACCAAAAGTTCTGATAAAAGGCTATTTGTGGCTTAAGCAGCTTGGTTGAAGGTGGTATATAGAATTCTAAGCAGCCTCATTTTTAAGTCGTTATAAGAACTTGAAAGTTCTGGTACCATAATTGAAGAGCATTCTAAACCAGCTTCTGGCGGAACTTGAACGGAACTTTTAGAAAATGAATTGAAAAAGGTTTTTGTCCTCTACACCAATTCTATATTTAGTTCGCACTTTTATGAAAGTTATTTCTAAAGGCAGGTATTAATGTGTATTGATTTTATCAGCATTAGTAGTAGAATTGGAGGTTTGAAGAATTAAACCCAGTCCTTCTGCGTTAGAGCCCTAGCACGAACCGCTACGTCATCTAAGATATATTAAAGTGAGCTTTTGTCCCGCCTACTGTTGGAGTTTTCAGTGCGAGCTGACTGACTTGAATACGAAACACAACACCTTTTTTTTTCTTGATTTGATTTGTTTTCCGTCGACCGTGCTGAGCACCAATGCACACTGGGCCAGGAACCGAAATTAGCAAGACAAAACCTCTAGCGCATTGGGTTTGCATTATATTGAAATGGTGTCTTTGGCAAAGTTTCTCGGTTTACAATCGCCTTCATCTGGTAATGGAAATTAGTTCCAATTTTATCCGCATAGATGGTGCTACGATACTAACTTTTTTATTTCACATGCTAGAGGTTTTATGTCTTGAACAAAGTTGTAGAACATTAAAAAATATAAAAAATTGCCGAAGAACTCAAAGTTCTAGGTCTTCAAACAACAAAGATATAGTGAATATTGTAAAATTTAACTGAAATTTACGTTTTTTGTACTATTTTCCATACAAACGACAAATTCTTCATTTTTAACGCCGTGTATCTTTTAAGTCGGATAATTCGCAAATTTTAATGAAGAGTTCTCAATGTTTTGGGTCGATACATGCGAAATACTAGCCAAAATAGTAAAAATTACCATGATTTTCATAATCCGGTTTCTCAAAAAGTAGCAAAAAGTAGCAGTAGTAGTTTTAGCAAAAAAGTCATTTACTTTCTGAAATGTACCATTTATCGTCAATCAAAGGTGAAAGTTTGCCGGACATATAATTTTATATATTTGAGATATCTGAATTCATAGACTACAATGTTTATTCAAGCAGCGTTCGCCAACGCACGGCTTGCTGGCTGCATGCGATAGAAACGATGGAATATGTCTCTTATGCTTCGCTAGCTGCACATTGGCGAACGCTGTACTAATCTATGCACAATGATTGAACCCAGGCCTGCTGGGGTGAGAGGTAATCACGCTTACCACTACACCACCGGCGCCGCTTAAAACACAACACCTTGATGAATTTTAAATTGGTGTTTGCCCGCATGGTATTCCAACACACTTGTGGCGCAGTGGTTAGCAATCGTAGATCGCATGCCGAATACACAAGTTCGAATCCAGGAAATTACTCTTTATTTTTTTTTATGTTTGGATAGAATGTTGATGCACTCCATAAATATATGAATTATGATTTATTCGGGCCACTGATCATTTTATATTTACGTACATTAAATTTTGTTACTAACAAAGACTTGTGTGGATTGCTTCATGTGGCTTGAAAGTTCTGTCGGAACTTTATTTGAACTTGAAAGTTCTGTCAGAACTTTATTCGAACTTTATGGAACTTGAAAGTTCTGTCAGAACTTTATTTGAACTTTATGGAACTTGAAAGTGATTTTAATCGTTGAATGCGGAACTTTTGGTTACATGGGGATCCACTGAATAACTTCGCTGAAGAAAGTAACTTCCTAAATGACAAGGATTTCAAGATATCACACAAACAACGATATCACAAATGCATGCACACTAGCGCCACGTAGTGAAAAAATTTCGAACTTCTGAACAACGATAAGGTCTTGATCCACTGAACAACTTCACCCAAGAAAGCAACTTCCTAGATGACAAGGATTTCAAGATATCACTAAAACAAGGGCATCATTAATGCATGCACACTAGCGCCGCATAGTGAGAAAATTCCCAACTTCTGTCCAACAATCTTTAGGTTTTGATCCACTGAACAACTTTGCCAAAGACAGTAACCTTCTATATGTCCAGGATCGCGAGATCGTCTACTTAAGCAACTTTGAATACTTATTTTCTTTAAAAAAATCTAGACCAACATTTGGAAAGGGCAGAACTTTTTTGTCTTCATTTTCTTCAAAAAAATTATAACTCAATAATGTCAAATCCTACAAAAATGTTGCCAAAGGATGATTTGCAGAGAAATAAATGAGCTTTTGTAAGAAAATATAAAAAATTAAAGTATTTTTTCTACACTGAAAAAAAATATTTTTTAAACTTTAAAATGAGATTTCTCAATAACACATTTTTTTTAATCTGAAACTTTTTCTAAAGATAGACATACCATTTATCTACAACTCGTTAATACATCCCAAGATGGGATCAAAAAGTGACCACCAACCTGATGATATACCAGGTAAGAATACTCAGAACGATAATTTAAATTTACACCTTTTTTATTTGTAGGCTAAAAAATTACTTGTTTAAACCTTGCACACTTATTAATTCATGGTTTACTTTTCTTGTCTTACAGAAGTACTGTCAATTCCATCATTAGAATCAATTTCATTAGCGGACCAGTTTCAGGGACCATATAATGTGGAAATATTCAATAGCATCGTTTACACATTGAATGTTTCACCAATTTAATTAAGGAACATGAGGACCATGGATTACCGTGTAACAAAATCAGCAAACATCACACAAGCAGTACGTCAGAAAAATTTTAATATGGATCCAACAGACATCAGTAAAGCAGAAGCATTCGACGAAATGGTAACACAATTAAAAAATAAGTTTAATTCATCTCCTAATGATAGAAATGAGCAGAAAAAGTTTTATCAGTGTTACCGCACTCTTGGTCAATAAATAAAATCGCAGAAGAGTTCAATGCACCGGTATATACACGGCGAATGAGAACAACCCAAATTTGAGTTTAGTTCACTCATAATCGCCAAAAGTGCAGGAACTCAGCGATGAGTTAATTTGCCTCATGTTTTCCCAAGATTTTCCAGGGAAAAATTCCCGAATTTGAAAAAAGTAAAGATTGGATTCACTCAGTCTATTGGTACTACTCCGAGACTGAATAAAATTTTCGTCAATTTTCTCATTTTCCGGCAGATTTTTTAGGTTTTCCACAGGAAACCATGGGACAAATTTTACTCATCGCTGAGTTCCTGCACTTTTGGCGATTATGAGTGAACTAAACTCAAATTTGGGTTGTCCTCATTCGCCGTGTACTATTGTCTTTCAGTTTATAACGCGATTTTCCGTCCCTTTCCACCATGTATACGTCAGGCGGGCCGTATTTTAATAAGGCCCGTGATGTTGCCTACTGTCAAACGTATAGGATTGATATGGGGTTGACAGCCTCCTGCTTGTCTGTCACAAATAGGTCTAGTGGAATAGCAAGTTTTTTGAAGAAAAAAATCATCTGTCAAATTTTAGTGAAAATTCATCATATCTAGATAGAGCTGGAATTAGGGCGTAACAGCTTTTGTAAACAATGACTTCTCTCGATGATTTCTAGGAATTCAAGGCACGCCCACGCAAACCAACATAACCATCCGAAAGCGGAAGTCTCCCCCTACCCGATGGTGATTGAGCTTCTTGAAATCACCAAGAGAAGTCATTGTTTACAAAAGCTGTTACGCTCTAATTCCAGCTTTGTCTGGAAATGCAACCTGTTGGAATCCTTCAAAGACAAAGCGAGCTTTGTAGCGGATAGGTTTGCCAAATTCATCCTCTTTGACTCGAAATACCCATTTCGATTGCAATAGCCTGATTCCGTCAAGACAAGTGCAAGGAACAGGGCTGGCAAATATCATTTTCAATGAAAGATCTCACGCGATATTTATAGAGATACTTCAGTCACTATCATCGGATGAGAAAACGATGATA